TGATCAGTTGAAGGCTGCAAATTTTTTACTCCAGTTTGTCTTTCCTCATACTGTTTGTACTATTTGTTAAGTCTAAATTTACTTGAAATGCTTGACTTTCCATGCTTTTACACTGACCAATAGAACTATATTCCTTATCAAGATTTCCAATAAGTCTTTCCTGACAGCGACCACACAGACGATGAGATTAGCACTGTACACAAAGCTCAAATTACCTCACAGCCTCTTGGGAGAGGATATGGTCAGTCGTGCTACTTCCTGTCCGGGGCTGGAAATTATTCAGAAGCCAGTTATGACTGGAAATTGCCTGTTTGTGAGGTAATACAGTACTGAAATCCTGTCATGTCCTGCCATGTTAAAAACGTTGTCAACGTAACATATTACATTTTTGCATTTTATTTTATTTTGTTTATTTATTTATTTTTATTTATTTTATCTTTTTTTTTATTTTATTTTATTTACTTTTATATCTTTTTAAATTGTATTTTTTTATTTAATTTTGTGTTATTTATTTTATTTTATCTTTTTATTTTATTTTATTGAATTTTATCTTTTTTTATTTTATTTTCTTTTTTTTTATTTATTTTTATCTTTTTGAATTTTAATTTTATTTAATTTTATTTATTTTTTAATTTTAATTTTTTTATTTTCGAATTTATTTTTATCTTTCTATTTACTTTTATTTTATTTTATTTGTTATTTACCTTTTTAAATTTTATTTTCTCTTTTTTGTATTTTATTTTATTTTAAATTTAATTTAATTTAATTTAATTTAATTTAATTTAATTTAATTTAATTTAATTTAATTTAATTTAATTTAATTTAATTTAATTTAATTTTATTTCATTTTATTTTATTTTAGATATTTGCCAAATTAAGCATTATACAACAAAGCCACAATTTTAAACATTTCTTTCTTAATAAATGGCAAAAATAAAGTTTTTTCGTAAAAGTATGTACAAATCATGAGGTAACTAAACAAACTAAAACATTTATCATATAATAATGTGGAGTGTTGCATACTCATACAGCATAATATTCCATAAGAAATGAGACACTACTCAACTTGGCCAGACTCCATTGCCATTGGTTAATTTTAAAAAAGCACCACCCAAAAAAAAATCACACCATTGGTTAATTTTGTTTAAAATCACCACACAGAATCAATGTTTACAAGTTATAGGAAGATCCTATCCACAAATGGTTACTCACAGTTGCATATTAATAGTAAAGTTTTGGAAGTACTAGAAAGAATGAAAAAACTTCCTTTTCATCAAATAAGAAAAAGCATATTTGAATCATTCCGAAGTGCTTGAATCCTAATCTATCTGGACTTCAAAGCAGACACTCAATTTCCATACTACTTTTCCAGCTTGAACGAAAAATGATGAGCTTTGCATAATAAAGCAGGTTTCACATTTCCATTTCATATTTATCTTCCTCTATTGAAAATGCCCATTCAGCAGACAGACTCTGGAAATGAGCGTTACTACAGGTGGAAGCAAATCATTCCCCTGTCACTTCCTTTGTTGTCTGAGCCAGTCAAATCCGAGCAGGGACTTATTTCTCATCTCCTCTGACCCATCTCATTCTCCATCCCTCTCTCATGTCGTCTTCTCTCGCTCCATCTCACCCTCTCGTCTGCCCGCTTCTCTCATTTGCTTTTCTCCTCTCACTCTGCCAACCTGCATTACCACGCATTAGATCAAAGAGCAATGGGGTGAGCTGCGCTTTTCACTGGCAATCTTACACACACACACACATTCATGTGACTAACACACTCCTTCCGATCTCATGACACAGCCCTCACTAAATGATCAGTTCGGGTAGGGAACTGCTTGTTTCTTAACAAAACTGACTTGTATATATCTTTCATAAACTTTTTAACTTTTCCAATGGATGAATTCATTTCTGTTTAGAAAGAGTGACTGGCATTTTATTGCTTTGCATTTCAAATAAAGGGTATTAGTCAAACCACACCCATGCAAATATGATTTTGAAGGCTTAAGGATAGCCAGAGATCAATACAAATATTTATTTTAATAGACACGCTTTTTAAATTGGTCAAATATGATATTTTCTAGCCATGAACACCACTAGTGGGTTTAGCAAATGTATTAAACAATGAAGGGTTAGCCTATAGTTTTTTCCCCAAAATATATTTATTGGATTTCATTTGAACTACAGAACAAAATAAATAAAAAAAATAATACAATAAAATAAAAAGGCTTAAATTGAATAAAATATATATTAAACAAAACTTAAAAAGTTTTTTTTATTATGAAATTATGAAACATCATTTATATGTTTAATTTTACCTTTTTAATCATTTGTTGGATTAACAAATTGTTAAAAAGGTGAAAGTAAATAAATAAATTAAATTAAATTAAATGCATAAATTAAAGTAAGAACAATACATAATTAAAAAATAAATAAATAATAAGAATGTTCAATACATATTTTTGTACTTGCATTTCACAGCCTTCCAGTGTGTGCTAGTATGGCGTCAATCTAGGGCCATATATACATGCAAAATAAAAAGAAAGTTTTGCAAACAAAAAATTAGGTATTGAACAATAAATAAATGAATAAGTAAATAAATAAATAAATGCAAATCTCCAAAAATTGCAAAGTGAAAAATAAACTTAAGAAGTTAAAATGAAATTTGCAAACAAAAAAGAGCTGCAAATAAAAATCAAGCATTGCATAACAACTAAAATATTTTTTAGATATTTTATAATATTGTATAATATTTTGAGAACTTGTCAAATCAGGGCCACAAAGTGAAAACAGCACCGCAAACACACTGTTGATAAAAACGCTAATCCAAATGAGCATTGCCATATAAAGTTTTTTAAAATTAATAATAATTCAAATATTAGTTATTTTTGTTTGCAAAGCTTTCTTTTGATTGACTTCATATGCTGGTTGGTTACACAAATTTGTTAATTGTTGCTGAAATATAAAACATCTGAACAATAAAATAAGACACCAACAAAGGTTTGAAAGCTCAAAAGTGTTGAGAAAAGTAAGAAAGTGTTGAAAGGGGGTCCATATTTGATAAAAAAAAATCTTGTAATTTTCTTTTAACAGCATATGTCAGCTTCTCCAGAGCAAGATTGCTAGTAAAAAAATAAAAAAATTAAATTACAAATAAAAATAAATTATATAAAATTAAAATCTAATAATATATTATTAATATTATTATTAATATTATTATTATTATTACTATAAACTATAATAATATCTAAATTACTCTAGAATAATAAAGAGTTTTTAGTCCCAAAGCTCTCTCACATCAGCTCAGGTCATCCTTATTGTTGAGACATACAGTATGTGTTATGTGGTTTACCGTAAAACCTGAGCAAACACACAAACAGACAAGTGAGAGGTGTTTGTGACATGACACGACCATTATTGCTCACAACATGTTTTTCGCAGTCTCTTCATCTTTTCATCGGGTCTTTTGCAGACTGTCTAGACAGTGCAAGAGATTTTGCTCATCTGTTCGCATGCTAGTTTGATTAGAGATCATAGAATTACAGATTCATACAGCCTTCAGTGATGGAGAACAAAATTTAATAGACCTTTTCACCATTTAAATTGAGAAATGTCTTGCGGTATTTTCTTCTCAGCAGAAAAACTATTTAATGCAAATTACAGAAACATCAACAGCTGCATTTGTTGCATGATATCCTCAAATTACATACAGTACAATGGTTTCAACAGCCAAACCTGGCTTATACGGGCTATTAAATAAAAAATAGCCTTTATGGTCTTTCTTTTACCATTATATGTATGGGACTTTTAAATCTTGATGATGCTGTTTGATGCAGTTGCTAAGCAAATCTTTTTCTCTAACCCTGAACAGCTTGGCCAGTTGGTTTCGCAAATACTCTTGCCTATACTGAGTGCTAAGTGGCTTAAAAGCAGGACTAATCTGAGTCGAAATGACTTACAGTAACCTATCGATTGAACATGTCTATGAAAACAACTGGATTATATAATAAAACAATGTAGAGCAACAATGTTACTTGTTGTGTGCATTATTTTGTATATTTGAACTGAAATTTCATTTTAAAAGAGTATACACTGGGATTTGATATTTTTGAGTGAGTTTTTCTTTTCTTTATATGCTATTAATTCATTTCATGCTAATAATAAAAGAGGTCACACTTAGCATTATATGTGTAATGTAGGAGAACAAAATAAATGGTTGTTATGACCCAATGTTTATAAAACAAATGTTTATTTTTTTTTAAAGTCGTTTAAATTGGATATAAAATAAATAGCAGATTTTATAGTTTTAATTTTATACTCCTAATTTAGTTTTAGTATTTATTATTTTGTAGCCTTGACATTATATTTACTTTATATTTGAATTTAGTTCCAACTTGTAGCTTGATGTAAGCTATATTTTAGTTTCAGTTTGATTGTTTTAAAGACTTTATATTAGATTTCAATTCATTAAGCTTCTTACAACCAAACAAGGTAGATATTTGGCATTTTCTAAAGTATTTCCATTGCTTAATAAACCCTCATGGACATAACTTTCTATAATGTCAACGCAAAGTAAAACTACATTCTTTTCCGTTGACTAACCCTTGAGTCTCCACGCCTGCGCAACGTCTTTTCATTCATTGAGTCCTGTTTACAGTTTTGATATTTCACAAAACAAGCTGCAGAGAATGAGCACATACTACTGTAACATTAGTGACTGAGAATTCAAGTCCGCAGCAGTCATAACTTGGTTACACAAACGCCTGCCATTAGTAACAGTAAAGCCCAGCAGTGTCCATTGCTAGCTCTTTCTCCATCCACAGAGAGCCACAAAAGTGTTGCACCCACCATGTAAACAGACAAACAGACATGTAAACGAAGACACAGCGTGTCAATTATGCAAAAAATTACAAAATTGCGTACTAAAAAACACTGCAGCTCTTCGGAATAGAGCAAACCGGACCAACAAGTTGGCGAGAGTGAAAAGCGTCTGTACTCACGTATCTGGTGATGAGGTTCCGGATGGTGCTGAAATCCATTCTGCTCGAGCCGCTCCAGGTGCGCTGTCTTCGGTTTCTCCTCTAAGCTTGAAGATCGCTGTATAAGACGCTAGCTGATCATCGTACCAAGTCTCTTTTCCATTCTGCGGTCTTCTTCTAGGCTTGACAAGCGACAGTCCTTGCACGACCGGAGAGATTATTATTGCCTCTACTGAGCACCTACAGAGATGAAGAAGGCTACTATGGAAAGTCCAAACGTTGTCATAGTGACGTGCTCCGGCGTGACTTATACTGCGAATGAGGGGAAAACAACAGCACGCGCTCGTTCTCCGGTGTTTCACTTGATTATTTGAAGGGACTGGTCACTTCTTCCTTGTCGAGCGTCCCTTCGGGCTGTTCTGTGGTGTACTGACGTACTCGCTCTCCTTCTCGGTGTAGTAGATGGATAGAGCCCGTCTGCTCGCACCGGAGACGTCATGAGCCCCGTGAGCGCACGCGCACTCTCCGGCTACACCCACCCGACCGCCCGCGGGGAGTTTTGGTTCAGCCTGCCCTCCGGTTACTCTGTTACTCCCCCTTCCAGTTACTGCCAATCAATCTCGACGACAAACCAGTACAGCATGGTGATGACATCAAGAACTTAACAGAGCCGTTCAAGCGTTTCGGCATTTACTGTTTGTGAGTGATGCTGTGATACTAAAGAGGAAGAAAGTTGTTGAAATAAGTAGAACAAGAAGTACCAACAACAATAATAACAACAAAAACAATAATTATTCATATTGTTGATATATTATCATGCTAAAATATTATAATAATCATAATAAATGTATAAATAAAGGGACTAAGCTAAAGGAAAATAAATAATGTAGCTATTATGTATACACCATTATTTCATTTACTGATTTTTCATTTTTATGTAATGTGATTTTTAATGTAGTTATTGTGATAATTTTGCTAAATAATAAATGTATATTCTTAAAAATAAATGCCTTTGTTTGCTTTTTGTTAAATGTTCCTCCTCTTAATATCTTGTTAAGAACACTTTTATCTAAAGAAACTTTTTTCAACTGTTCACAACCCTAGTAGCAAAGAATTCTGGCCCAGATTTGGCATAAAGCTGGCACAGCAGGCATTCATCCGGCACTGGCATACAGCATGTGGCCAAACATGGCCCGGGTTTGGCAGAGGCGGCACCATCTTTAAGGCGGCACACAAGATTTGGGCCAGATGAAAAATGTAGTATTTGGCCCAGATTTTAAAATTTGATAAGTGGGCCATGTGAGTTTGGCCAGTCTTGACCCACATTTAAAATACACTAAAATCAATTTTGAGTAAAGAAAAAAAATTCTACCAATCAGGTCACTTTGAGAAAAAGCGTGCCCATAGTGTGCCTAAAGCGCATCACTCCATGGGTTTATCAATTTCATTGCAATCGTGACACACCAACCTATCTGGCCCAGTTCAGGCCCAGTTATGAGTTATTAACTTGGCTGAGACTTGGCCCAGATATAGTCCGTGTTTGGCCCTTGTCTGGAAGCCAGATTTGGTCCAGTCATGTACCGTAATTCACTGCGGCATGTGGGCCAAGCAAAACCTGATTGTGTGGGCCAGATCTGGGCCAGAGAAATTTTGCTATGTGGGAACCTTTTGTGGAATGAAAAGTTTTCATGGATGTTAAAGGTTCTTTATGGAATCATCAGTGCCACTAAGAAACAGTTGTTTTTTACAGAGTGTATACAGTATTGCTGAATTTCCAGGATTTAGGCAGCACAGTGGCTTATTATGGAGTTTGCATGTTGCATGTTGCATGTGGGTGTGCTTGGTGTGCTCCGGTTTCCACCACAGTACCAAGACATGTGGTACAGGTGAATTGGATGAACTGAGTTGGCTGTATCTGTGTATATCTAGCACTGAGGGTGCCCTCTCTGGGCTGGGTTGCGGCAGGAAGGGTATCTGCTGGTAAAACATGTGCCAGATTAATTGGCGGTTCATCCTGCTGATAAAGCAGGGAATAAACTGAAGGAAAGTGAGTGATTTTCATTAATCTATCTGTCTGTCTCACCACAGGTTTTAGTATGTTAATTTTATATTATTGTTGTTGTTGTTGTTGTTCTGTGGACATGTTTATATATCTGTGTGCCATTCATACAAACTTCATTTCAATTCATACAAAGCTGGTCATTTCAGCTTCTTCAGTTTTTAGAAAGATCTTTATTATAAGTATGCATAGGACAATTTTCAAGGTTTATCACAGTTTGGAAAAGTTTTTTTTTTTTAAACCGGCAAAATTTTCTGCTAAACCATTCCTTAAGGTTTGTATACGATTTTTTATTTACAATTTTTGTTTTGTTTTTAGGACAGCAGTATCTCCAGCAGAAAAGATCTCCAAAAATGCAGTTTTAAATTGTAATGACATCTGTTTTTGAAACTAATGAAGACAGCAGAAGTCAATAATCCGTTTGAATTATTCAGCCTGACATGTTACTGCTATAAAATATTTAAAATGTTTCTCAAAATAAAATATATTGTGTGTTCAAAGGGAAGACATTTAAAAATAATATATTTTAATGCAGTAATCACAATACTGTGCAGTCATGATATTTTTATACAAGGTTATCACACCAGACCCTGCCTAGTTATAAGTAAGCACATAACTTACTCAGAATCTAATCTCTTAAAATGCATAAATGTGTTAAGGAACATCAGTGCCATTAATATAAAACACATACAACAGTGAACTATGTTTTTGTAAACTATGGCAACAGTTGGAAAAACTGAAATACATGCTTCTCTTCTTACTCTAAGTCATATTACCATTTCAAATGTCAAATTTACACATCACTGTATATGTGGAATATTGATTAAAAGAAACTGGATATGATTCAGAGGTACACTTTTGCATGTCTGACAAATAAAATAACATTGGCATAGGGATAATGAGAAGAAAATTAAATATGGGCACAAATGCAAAATGCTAAATTACTGTAGAAAAGCAAACACTAAAAACTAAAACGGCATCACAGTGGCGCAGTGGGTAGTGCAATCCTCTTACAGAAAAAGTCACTGGTTCAATCCTCGGCTGGGTCAGTTGGCATTTCTGTTTAGTTTGCATGTTCTCTCTGTGTTCGCGTGGGTTTCCTTCGGATGCTTCTGTTTTCCCCACAGTTGCGCTAACACATGTGCTAGGTGAATTGGGTAAGCTAAATTGTCCATAGTGTATGTGTGTGAATGAGAGTGTATGGGTGTTTCCCAGTGATGGGTTGCAGCTGGAAGGGCATACGCTGCATAATACATTTGCTGGATAAGTTGGCAGTTTATTACGCTGCTGCAACCCCGGATTAATAATGGATATAAAGAGGAATAAATAAATAAAAAGGGGATTATTAAAGGGGATTAAAAACTAAAACTAAAAAATTCATTTTTAGCAACATGGCATTAGCAACCGCAGACAAATGTGAAGTGAGTATTGTCAAGTACCAATACTAAATTGGTCCTCTGTGCACACACACGAGTGAGAAGTTAGAGCACACACACATACACACTGAGCATATACCCAAAGCAATGGGCAACTTTTGCTTCTAGCAGCCAGGGAGCAATTAGGTGTTATGGCATCTCAGCTGGGTGTCGAAGATGGAGAAATCTTTCCGGGACAAGGAATCAAACCTGCAACCTTTTAATTACAAGTCCAACTTTCTAACCATTAGGTCACAACTGCTGCTAATACGTAATTACACACTATAATTGTAACCTTACAAAAGCAAACACAACTTTTTCAAACGAAACTGCTTTTATTATCATTTTTGATCTGAGAAATGCACCAAAACAACTGAAAAATGTTTGTTTTATTATTATGCCATTTATAAATCTAATCTAATCTATATATATCTATATATATATATCTATATATATATATATATATATATATATATATATATATATATATATATATATATATATATATATATATATATATATATATATATATATGTTTGTGTGTGTGTGTGTGTGTGTGTGTGTGTGTGTGTTGGATATAGACCATTTCAATGTAGTCAAAATAGTTTATCAAACTATTTCAAAACTGTAACAATTCAATCATAACAAGGTTAAAACTGCTGTCATAACATTATTTATCAATAAGTGGCTTTTCTCGGTAATCAAAAGCCATAGAAATTTAATTTAAAATGTGAAACAGGAAGTACGTTGGCACAATTGTTTTTGTTTACATCCCTCAAAATGATCTATATGACATTTTATATAAGGGAAAACCAAATATGAACTTGAATGTCATACATGTAATTAGCATATTGTCATATATGAAATTTCTATATGGGATATTATTGGTGCTGTTTTTGGTTAAAGTGTTATAATAATAATATTTAAGAATGTTTGTTTGTCATTATTTGTTTGGTTGCAAAAATTTAGAAACAGCCCAGTGCACCTTTCAAAGCTGTTTATCTATACCGGTTTTATTAGTAAGAATAACGTTTCTGTTATTAAATAATTGAGATAAAAAACGCTCAAATATATCAGTATAACTAATGCAATTATTATTATTATATTTTATGCTTAGGCAATGTTAGTACGGAGGAACCTGTTTCTCAGCCTCATTTCACAGCCGACCGTTCCTCCGCTGCGCACCGCTGCTGTGTTTTCCGTTGACTGTCCGACTGTGGGCGCTTTTCGGCGGGTTCCGTTAAAATGGCGCTGTTGTTGCCAGGAGCTCAAGCCCATCGAATGGAAAGCGACAGCGGTTAAAAAAAAAACACCGTTAACCGTTTCTGCCCGCACCGGAGGCGACAGATAAGCGCACAATGGCGACGCTTGATCAGAAATCCCCTAACGTGCTTCTGCAGAGCCTGTGCTGTAAGATCACGGGCAAGAGCGAAGGTAAAGACTCAGATCTCATCCCTTTACATCACTGTCATACCGCCGCTTAAACATGATCGTCATGTGCAGGATGTGAGCGAGTATGTGGCTGTTTCGTTGAAAATGTGATACGATCAAATGCGTGATTGAGGGTCAGATCTGCACCGATGAGATGCTGTAATCTTGTGAACATTTGCAGATGCTGAAAAGCGCAGGGCCCCTGCCTCTTTGCGTTAATAGATAGGGGTTAAAAACAATCGCACATTCAGACATACTACTTAGTAATATAATTTCAGAAAATAATTATACACAAATTCATAATGGGCAAATCATATTAGCAGCCAACGACTAACAAAGTACAACAGTGTTCAATCAAGGTCAATCAAGTGTTCAATCAATCAATGAAATGGTGCTAATGTTGTTTTGAAGTCATATTTAAATGCGATTTTAGACCCAATATTCAAAGTAGCGTGGTAAACAACATGGAGACTGTTAAATGCACTCATGAGCGATTGCAAAACTAACTTTACCTCAATAGTAAAGAGACCCTGTGATGATTTGTGTCACCTTATGTCAGCTGTCATTTTCCTATAAGTTAGTGCATTGAGGTAAAGTTGGTTTTATATTCACACATTCGTTCAGTGACAACTTGTGACGCGCTTCCTATATTGTTTATCACGGTTCTTTGAATATTTGGTCCGAAAAAACTCCAAGTATGACTTGAAAACAACATTAACACTGTTTATTTGACTGTGAACAATGTTGTACTTTGATAGTCATTGGCTGCTAGTATAATTTTGCTATTTAGAATTTGCAAATAATACTTTTCTAAAATTATATTATTAAGGAAAATGTCTGAATGTGTGAATATATAAAACCAACTTTACCTCTATAGTTAGTGCGTATGAATGAATCCCAGACCTACAGGACTTGCATCTCAGAGAGTTTGCATAAGATACAAAACAGATCAGAAACCGAAGACAGCAGAGCAATTTCAGAGTTATGGATGTGACATTTACAGTAAAAACTCAAAACATAAATTCACATAGAAACTAAATGTTCATTTTATATTGAAACGTCTGTTTCTATTTTCCAGAACTACTAACCACAGAGTTAGGGGATCAGAAAAATATCAATATGTAAACATATTTCATATTCAAATGAGGAAAATAAACTTGCGTTACTTATGGATGTGACCAAAAAGTTAGCGAGTTTATAGTAAACAACATACTTTGTAGAAATTAAACTGCACAGAAGAAACAAAGTTATTTCATAAGGATAAGAGTTGGCTCTCTATACATCAATTATTTTTATTTTATTTTTATTTTTTAAATTTATGAGGAAAAAGCTTGGTTATGGAATCTGGATATGACGCCTCTCCATTATGGATGTGATAGATGTGAAAATACCACTTATATTACTTTGGTAAATCAATGTAACTTTGAAAACATTGACAGATCATTTTTAAAATATTTTACAGTACTGTAAAATACAAGCCTACACAAAAAAACTAGAAAGAGTTTTGCTAATTTGTTGAAATTTTTTATGGAATTGCTCATCAGCAGATTATCAGTGAACTGTAGAGATGGCAAATGAATGGTCCTTTCTTTCATTTTATAAAGATGAGATAAATGCATTTGAAGTCAGAATTATTAGCCACTCTGAGTTATTAGCCCCCCTGTTTATTTTTTCCCCAATTTCTGTTTAATGAAGAGAAGATTTTTTTCACACATTTCTAAACATAATAGTTTCAATAACTCATTTCTAATAACTGATTTATTTTATCTTTGTCATGATGACAGTAAATAATATTTGACTAGATATTTTTGACTAGATAAGTTTGACCTGAAATGACACAGACTTCTCCCTAAAAATAATAAGACGGTGTACAAGAGGCATCATTGTGGAAACAAATATTTATCAGATTTTCTGAATAATATCAGGGTTGCCTGTAAACGAGACATTATTTATTGAAATGTGCTATTTTTATACATTTTTTAGCATACAAATCTAAATTTTGGATGAAGCCAAGTTAAAAACATTTGATTACCTGTTTTTAACAAATTATTAGTCAATTGTTATTAGAAGGAGCGTTTTGAAAACATATTTTTATCAGTCAATAATTCAGAATATTTCATGACCAGCTAGACTTTTTTTTATTATTTATTTAGTTTAACATTAATGGCATTTGGCATAATAAAATCTGTAAAATCTGCTTCATGTATGTATGTATGTATGTTTGTTTGTTTTTGTTCTCAGCTGACGTAGCCCATCAGTTCCAGTACGCTGTGCGGGTCATTGGAAGTAATTACGCTCCCACAATTGAACGGGACGAGTTTTTGGTGTCTGAGAAAATTAAGAAAGAATGTGAGTGATGTTGAAACCCTATCCTTTTTTTTGTGCACATGTGCTTTTAGAAGGCCTGAAACAAATATTTTGTGTTTTTTTTTTTTGACCTGTTATATTAATCTACAAAAAAAAAAAATAAAAGTAAAATTATATGAGAATTAAGTTTTAAGAATTTTATTTCAGAAACATAATATTAAACTTTGTTTCCGCATGAAAAATAGAAATTAGGGTGAATTGTTAATCTGCTATAGTAGCTGGAATTTCAGCAGATGTAGTCATAGAAATTCATAATATCAGATTTAGGACTTTGGTAAGATGATGAAATCAACATAATTCTGAATGTTCAGTATAACAGAATAAAAAAAATACAACTGATCAGCAAATTTACTGTGAATAATATCGATAATTTGTGATTAACTGATGATTGGTTTTAACCATATTTTTGTCTTGAGTTATCTTTTCCAAGGTTGGATAATTGTTATGTATAATCAAATCCATTTTTAAGTTACTTTTAAATATTGAAAGAATGATCACTGTATGTACCAGATTATACATATTTTTGTGTCAAATTTACAGTTCTACTTTCTTTATAGTAAAATAACACAAAATAATGCTGTCAGCTAGAATTTCAGAATTAAGATTGACAAAAATCATTAATATTGCAGACAACCCGATTCAAAAACCACTGTAATGTATTTACTGTGTGTTTATTGTCTGTTACTTTTCTTTGTTCCTTTACTGACTATGCATAATTATTCCACCATGTTGTCATTAGTAATAATCCAGCCCTGGACCTATCGGCGTAGAGACAATTCTGTCAAAAATGCCCTTTAATAATAGCTGCATTAAAAAGAAAAACTTTATATTTTGGTGTCATCATTTATTGTTGATTATTGCTGAATTCTTGCAGTGTTGAAACAAAGGCGGGAAGCAGATGCAGCCCTTTTCTCTGAGTTGCACAGAAAGCTTCAGACCCAGGTCAGAATCGATCATTATTCTCATTATTTCCCAGCTAGCCGTGGTGCACGGATCAGATATAATGATCGTTAGATTGTTAGATGTTGTATGTTGATTCAGTTGTTTCTGTTCAACAGGGTGTATTGAAACACAGATGGTCCATCTTATACCTCCTGCTCAGCCTCTGTGAGGACCCAAGGAAACCATCCGGCCGGGTTCCTGTATGAAATCCTATTTTACAGACTCAGTGATATGAAATATAACTTTACATGATGTATAACAAAGGCTATAGAATACACAAGACGTGTCGCTCTTATAGTTTTGAATGGCGAAAAGTGTAAAGGTCAATATGACGAATGAAGCCCCGTCTTCTAGTACAGGAGACAATCAGCAATCGATATAGACTGACGATTCTTTGGGGGAAGGGGGGGGGGGGGGTGTATTCATTGATGATTCCTAATTTGAAATTAAATCTTAAGCTTGGCAAGCATTTTTAGAGAATTTGATGTTACCCCATTCAAACAGAATACCTCAGCATACAAGGCATTTCAAAGATGGTCTTCGAGTAAAATGACTTGCCTTAAAGGGATTTTGTGTATAAGCGCAGAAGTAATCTTGTTTTCTGTCTACAGGTGTGTAGTTATGGAGCTCTGCTTGCTCAGGCTTTGCCCCGTGATGTTCACTCCACACCGTTCTACTATGCCCGTCCTCAGAGTCTCCCACTCAGCTACCCAGAGCGCTCCGCCACAGCTCATAACTCCAGCATGGCTACCAGTGGAATCAGCAGTATGGGGGTGTTTTCTATTAATGGGCCTGGACCGACCCCACCATCTTTGCTTACTGGGTCAGTTGCAGACAATAAACCTTTTTCATATTTGCAGCTTTCTCAGCAGTGGAAGTCGTCATTCTTGGGGAAGCTTAAAAAATACACTTCGAAAAAAAAAAAAAAATGGAATGACATAATTTCGATATAATAATTTCGGCATAAAATATATACATATATGTATATATGTATGTATTTTTTTATACAATAAGTAAAATACAGTATAACACAGCAAGTATTTGCATATAGAAATCATTGTGTTGGTACGTAGAATTTTATATGAATGATCTTAAAGCATACTTCTCAAATATTACATATTATAAATGAATATAATTAAGGGAAATCTGAGAGCTCCCTCATCCTCCATAGACGGCAATAATTCCCAACTTATTTTTGTACATAAAATAATTCAGTGGTTCTATAGGTGGTTTAAAAAATGTTGTAAGAAAAGATCTAGCTGAATTTTCTCTCCTGTGAACAGTTGTTGTGTCATTCTTATTCAGCTTCTGTTGAATTGCTTCATATAATCCTTTATAAAGTCTATGACAAAACATAAGGGTTTCTCTCTCTCCTTCCCTCCCCTTTTCATAATTATCTTTTCAATTATACAGCTGTTGTATTTGTCGCACGTTTAATTGAACTGCCGCACACTCATCTATTATTAATGCATTTGTCTAGCACCTGCAGCACTTAAGATATTTTAAATATGGCCATGTCCTCCAAGCTCCTGAATTAATTGATTACCGGATCCATTTCACAGTAAATCTGTCAGAGCAAACAACATCATTAAAGTGTCCAGAGCTCAATGTCATTATTTGTTTAAAGCGTGCCATTATGTGGTAATTAGTGAATTCCCACTGGTTTTGCTAATGGGCAACGAGAATGTGTCTCGAAAATTTATGTGGTGAAAAAGACAAATATTTCTTTCACCGCAGCCTTAGAGTTGGACTTTTTGTTCTAGAATTTAACATACAGCATCATGAGGTAAATTTTTATAAATCTATACCATTTTTTTCTGTTTTAGAGCTGGAACTCAGGCTGTTGGAGAGTCTATGAGAGGGTCTCGTTTAGCCTGGACTCTGCCAGTGTCCAGTTCTCCGTCTGGGGCAGCAGCTGCTCCTCGTCCCCCCAGCGGACCCTCCTCCAGTCCAGCTCCCAAACCACTGCAAAGACCCAGGCGGGACGGAGATGGCAGTGGTTGGTATCTGCAGCAGTAATCTTAGATTTTTGTTAAAAGACATGGCCAGTTGGAAAGTGTCGATTGCTTATACTAAAAAAAATAAAATAAGGATAGTATTTTAAAAACTTAAAGGATACTTCGCCCAAAACTTTTAATTTACTCCTCCTTTACTTACTGCAAATGGTTTAAAACTAGTACTGATTTATTAATTGCAGTAGCAGTTTCACAAATTTGAAACCACAGATGTTGCGATTACACTTTAGTCATGTGACATACAGAGGAAGTATTATGGATTTCTTATTTTTATTGGGATATACACTCACCAGCCACTTTATTAGTTACACCTTATGGCCCGTTTCCATTGAGTGGTACTGTTCTGTTTGGTACTCTTTTATGGCCATTTCCACTGTCAAAAGGCGTACCAAACCGTACCATACCAATTGTTCGGCACCCTTTCGAAAGGGTACCAAACACGAGAAAAGGTACCAAAACGTGGAGCTAGACGTGCAGCTGAACGCTATTGGAATGTGGGAAACTGGTTGCCATTGACTTTGATAGTAGGAAATGTATATTTTAAAAAATTATATTTATAACAAGCTGAAATATGGATTTGTTATTGAATTTATCATTATGTAAATGTGTTTTATGGATGTTGAGCTTGCCATGAAATAGCCTGTCACATTGCTGTTGTGACAGTTATAATAATAATAAAAAAATTATAATATTAAAGCAAATAAATAAATAATAAAAAAAGAATAATTATAATAAAATATTTTTTAACAAAAAGCAATGACAAAAAAGATATTTTGAAGAATGTTGGAGACCAGTAGCCATTGACTTCAGTAGTATTTTCCCTCTAATCAATGGCAACCGTTTTCCAACATTCTTCTCTTCAGAATATCTTCTTTTGTGTTAAACAGTTTGTGTTTGTGTTTCAGTAAATGACAGAAATACATTTTTTTACCATTTCTCTATGAAGATAAATGTAAATAAATATATTTTATATCCTATATAAATGATCATTTAACACCATTGACATCAGCCCAAGTGTTTTATTCAGTATATGCAATAAATGGGTCCGTCTGTGAACAAACCCTCATTTTATTTTACAGAATATTTTCCTTTTTTTTTTTTTTTTTAATTAATCAGAGTAGATTCTTGCATTTCACATTAGACTTGTGTCCTTTCTTGTGCATTCCTTAGACCTGAAGAAGGATTTCTGAGGTGTTTAAGATGCAGAGGGCCACACGGCACCTTTCTCTGTGACAGATATATGAGTCTGACCTTTACAGTACTTCAAACTGTCTTTTTTTCACTACTTTTTTTTCCTCTCTTTTTCTGGGCCAGCTGATATTGGGGAAGCTGCTCTCGTCCGAGACATTCTTTATGTTTTCCAGGGAATCGACGGAAAGTTCATCAAGATGTGCAGCCCGGAAAACTGCTACAAAATTGATTCAAAGGTGATGCATTATAAGCTGTATCTTTCTCTCATTTGGCTTCTTTGAGAACTACCATTAACCTATGGCAGGATTTTATGGCAGGATATTTTTTTATATTAAAAAATATGCATTACTGTTTAAAGTTTCCTTTCAGGGAGATCTATTATTTATTTGTCTATTATTTGAGTATTTTTTGTATGTTTTAAAATATTGAGTTTCAAATAAATGCTGTTTTATAAAAATTGCACATAGTATGTATCACGAATGTATTAAATGTTAAGCATCATGATTAGATATCTGCCGCTGTTTTTAAAATATTGATAATTATTATACATTTTTCTTAAAACCTAAAATCTACATATTAGATTGCTTCATGTGATGCTGAAAGCGTCAAAACTTTGCCAAAACAGGAATAAATTAAATTTCAATGTATATACAAATTCTAAATATTGTTATATGCTTACCGGCCACTTTATTAGGTATAATTGCTAGTTAATCACATGGCAGCTGTTCAATGCATTTAGGTATGTAGACATGGTCAAGACCATCTGCAGCTCAAACTGAGCGTCAGAATGGGCTACAGCAGCAAAAGACCATACCGGGTGCCACTCCTGTCAGCTAAAAACAGAAAAGTGAAGCTAAAATTCTGCAATGGCTCACCAAAATTGGACAGTAGAATATTGGAAAAACATTGCCTGGCCTGATGAGTATCGATTTCTGCTGCGACATTCGGATGATTTGGTCAGAATCTGTCACCAACAACATGAAAGCATAGATCCAGATTGCCTTGTATCAATGGTTCAGGCTGGTGGTGAAGGTGTAAGGGCGTGGGGGATATTTTCTTGGCACACTTTGGACCCATCAGTACCAATTAAGCATTGTGTCAATGCCACAGCCCACCCGAGTATTGTTGCTGACCATGTCTATCCCCTTATGCAGGGGTGATAGCGTTCCGGCACCACGCCGGATTTCCGGCGTACTGTGGCTGCGGGTAGGGTTGTGACGGTGAGGAAATTTCCCCACCGGTTAATCGACATGTGACAACACCGGTAATACCGGTATCACCGTGGGAGTGGGCATTTTTTCATTTCCTCTTTTTTTCTGATTTTAAATAGCTTATAAATGCGTGCGTATAATACTTTCACTTTCAGTTTTGCGGGAGTTGCCAATTCGGTGTCAATTGTTTGAATGGACGGAAAGGAAACTACAAAAAAATCCCTGTTATTAAACAAAACATAACTTTTATTTATATAACGAATAAAACACAACACTGCTACAGGCTGAAAAAACTGTGTAAGTTGGAACCATACAAATAACAACCATAAACGCCTATGTTATATATTAACAGCTTAGTCCTTATGAACAGTCCGTTTATAAAATACATTATTAACGAATTTAGGCTATTGAAGAATAAACCGAATATGAAATATGATCCTTGCATAATAATCACAACTAAACAAGCGAGCACTCATTTTATAATTAAACTATATGAAAAAAATTAAGAATTGAAACATTATGTAAAAAATCAAAGGGCAGGCTAAATAAAAGCGCCTCGTCAGAGCTAAACACCGCATGTGTCAGTTTACAGCTTCTGGAAAGATCAGACAACCTATACAGATCACACAATCTCAATAAACAACATGTAAATGTATAAATATTTCGATAAGTATTGTTATGGAATATTTATAACTAAATGATCTTGCTTTTTGGTTTTATCGATACAGCTTTGATCTCTCTTACAAGCGGCAGTTACAGGCGCAGCATAAGGGCGTCTCACACTGTCAGTGGCGGAATACACACAGCACTGCCAAGACGTTTTATTTTTATTTTATTTGTTGCAGATTTGCACGTTGTTCCTTTAAAAAAAACTTTTATTTTTTAATTCTCTCAAGTTAATGTTGTCTATCGAGTAACTATCGAGTCCCTCGGATTGGAGTTCAGTGCGAATTAAGACTATTGACCAACCGCCCTGGGCTGCGTTTCCCGATAACGATTGATCTTAGCACTTAAGAGCGTTTTCTACGAGTCATTTTGCGAACGTTCGTTATTGTTTCACGTGCGTTTCCCAAAAATGCACTTAACACAATTGCACGTAGCCCAGCTTTAAGTGCAACTTAGGAGTCGCTATCCGTTTGTTAAGTGCTGAAATGTCACGCTATAGAATGGCTCGTTATTGTTGCACATGTTATAGCAATCCATATAATTCTTCTTCTACTTGTGTGAATGTATATTCAACTCGAATAACATAAAAAAAATATTTTTGAGCCAGTTTAAAAACATAAATTAACTGGAAATGTCGTACTGTAAAAACACTGTCTTGCTCCAATCTCGCATAAAACTAATTCTAACAGTCCTTGCCGGAAATTACATCAGCATCATTTTCGATATTTATATGAAACCTTAATTAAGTAGAATTATTTATCAATTTCTTTATCAAAAATTGCTTATCTCACATCAAAATAAATAAATAAGTAAATAAATAAATAAATAAATAAGCTCTTACATTTATTTTTGAAAAGTTTAGCCTAATTATCCCCACCTGATGTGCATTTGCTAATAGGACAAAAATATAGCCTACTACCCTACCCTTGTCCATATACAACAGTGTAATTTTTTTTTTCATTCTAACATTTATTATGTAATTTTTATTTTTTTCTTTATTCATTATTATTTGTATATTGAATTGTGTAATGTGTAGAAAATATAAATGAATAGAGATATACGTACAAATAAAATGAATAATGACTTTGAAGAGAAGTAAATTGTAGGTGCAATTTGCCGGTTGTCCAGCAGGTGCCCTCATAACTCTGTCTCCTTACGATGCACTTAAGGCTTTACGATTACTCCAGAGCACTCGTAGATCCACTAAGATTTTCAAGTGCTACTTAAGTTACGATGCTTTTGGGAAACAGACCGTAATATTAAGATCAGTCGTACGATCATTTCTACGAACTTCTTAGGCTTACGATGCTTTTGGGAAACGCAGCCCTGTAAGTTTAAACACTACAGGTCCACAGCTCTGGTGTGGTATGAATTTCACGTTTTAAATGACAGCGAGACATGCTACGTTTAGTTTTTATTGTAAAATATACATTATAACCCAGTACACGGTAAAATAATGTTTAGAATGGCTTGTCTATTGACGGCGTATAGCCGTTAATTAAATATGCTGAGCATATTTTCATTAAAATTAAAACACAATAATAGGCCTATAATTTATAGGCTACACAGCTCATATCTTTGGCTCCAATTGCGTTTTTACAGATATCCTACCAATAGACTTTTTTTTGGCTCAAAGACATTTATGCCTGTTAATTTCAGAGGTGCATTTTGACAGATTTCGTAAAGGCTTCAGCTATTCTACCTGTCAGCTGCACCTGCCTAAGTTTTGCAACTTGACTTGTGTTGTGGCTCGATGTCTGAATGAGAGAGAGAGAGAGAGAGAGAGAGAGAGAGAGAGAGAGAGAGATCAGTCCTCAGATTCGATGTGTGGCCGCACGTCTCAGTTACTTTATTGCAATTTTTAATATTGGCTCATCTAAATAAACTTTTCATATATTAAAAGCCGAAATATTGCCAGACAGAAGAAGCAACTTTCGGTTTTTGAAGAGAGCGGCCTCAGTTATAAAAGATGTGCGCACACACAGGATTCCATCTTTTTGGCCTAGACATTATGGATTTTTTTGACATTAAACACATAATCAAGTGGAAATAAGAACAGCTGAACTTCGGAAAAAGTCCTCACGTTGCCACGATGTTTCTCTGCAGTTGGATTGTCAATGGCGCAGCATTGCTAAATCACTCGTTTTAATTAAAAAAAAAGATATTTATTATTAAACATTGTGAGATGATGGTCGCGTGAATTTTTTTTTAAATGAGAGTTTGCGTTGCGTATGTATGGATCTCTCCGCGACCCACCCATAGTTAAACATGAAGGTGCGTGTATAAATTAGTTATGTTTCCAGATACTGCCACCTTTGTCAGGCAAAGTTTGCAGATCGCCTCATTAACGTCGTCAGGTTCTCTTATGCGTTTGGTTTGAACCCAAAATTTTGCCAAATATGCGCCTTTGCATTGCGTTTTGACAATAAATCGTCCGCCATCCTCTTTCTGTAAATTCGACTCCTCTTTCTCCTCACGTGGTCAATGAAATATGACGCACTGTAGCTTTAGATTTTAATTATAGAGCATGCTCTCGTTTTAAGTCAATTATTTATAATTATATTTTCCATTTATTTTAAATAAATGTTTAATAAAAAAAAATAAAAAACGAATACTTAAAAAACAAATGTGGGGACGGTGTCACGGTAGAAAAGTGATGTCACCGGTGTTGCGTCTTAACACCGGTATCACGGTCAACACCGTCTATCGTGGCAAGCCTAGCTGCGGGGGAAAAAAATCAGGTTCACGGATATTGATCTGTCATTCACTCACTGCTGAAAGCGCCGGATTGGTTTTTATTAAGTGCCATTTTGTGTGCTCGTGAATCATCTTTTGAGTGTAGACGCCATGTAAATAAAAGATTAATTGTGTAATTTAGAGAGCTTTATAAATTATAACGGATCTTTGTGAGATCTCTATGAACTAAGATTAGTGACGCTTTTTAGTGATAATAAGAGGAGCGTGCTTTGCACTTTCCAGGCTATAATCCATTCAGAATTTGTATGAAACTTTCGTTTTCGGCACATATACGCTGATATGTTTTGGGAATGACATCTGCATATTTACGCTGGGTTTATTCTCGAAATAACGGTGAAGCAATAGACGGGACAAAAATATATTTCCCCCTTCTCCTTAAACAACTTAGTGTTTCAGCTATGAAATAGTTCAGTTTTGTATGTAGCCTAATGGCAAAGTGTTTATATCTAGTTTCGTTTTTTATTCAGCTTATTTAGAAAAACGTTTGGAGCATTTTTTATTCGTTAAAAATATATATATTTTTTTTAACGAACAGCGCCCAGCGGAAGACCATCATTGTCTGTTTGATCAGTTTGCCTTCTCAGATCATCACGACTTGCCTA